CTCTGTTATTTTTATTAAGAAGAAAGAAGCCATTATTATTTAAAAGATAGATATTTTTATTTTACATATATGTGTGTGTGTGTGCTTCGTTTTCTCTCATGTGCATATGCTGTCCATGTCCATCTAATTAAAATGTTGATTAATATTATAATCTACCTGGGCTCATTTTACCTTCAATTTTTATCGGTCCAGGAACATTTCAACTGTGCTGCAAAATATTTTCTTTAAAGTGGACATTTTTTAAGTTTTGAGCTTTGAACTCTTAAGCCTAATCCAGTGCTTTGAACTTTTAAGCCTAATCCAGTGAAAGAAATGATAATCCTAACTGAAGGTAAGAACTGATCAGCATTGTGTTAAGCTTTATTTTTAATCGCTCGACTGTGTGAGACTGTATTACATTATGTCGCATTTTAATACTAAAGAAAAGTTTGGAAAAGACAATTTTAACTGTCGGAAGCTACAGATAGAAGCTATATTAGTTGAAAATGACGTGAGAGATTATGTGACTGGTAAAGAACTGAAACCTGCTAAGGAACTGAAGATTAAAAGAAATAACTCCAATCTGATAAAAAAAAACTTACATAGAAATAATTCTTGCCATTGATCCTAGTGAACTGTGTCATATAAAGCTTTGTGTGACATCAAATGCTGCAGGGAATAAACTCAAAGCTGTGTATGAATCGAAGGGTCCCATGAAGAAGGCTAACATATTAAAACAGCTTTTTTTTTAAATTGAAATTATATCTGAATATTTGCAGTTTCTTTGAAATAACTGATAAGCTAATGAAAGGGAAATTGACATAGCTGATGATTCTTCTGCAGTATAGTGTTAATGAAAATTTTAAATGTGCCATCGAATCAAGAGATGAATTACCTAGTCCCGAATCTTTGAAAATCAAAGTGCTAGAAGAATGGAAAGCAAGAAAAGGAAAACGTCTCAAAATTCACAAAATGCATTCTGTGCTGAAAATAAAAGAAGCTGTCAAAAACATAAGAAAAATGGAGGGTAAATTCAAACAAATTTTTCCTCCTGAAAAAAAATTATCGCAACTTGAAGTGTAATTATTGTTCAAAAATTGGGCACGAGGCATATGAATGTAGAAAGAAAATAGCTGATACAAAAGATGCGCAGTCAAATAAGGGAAATCAAGATTCTATGATGGCTATCAGTTATGAAGAACTGACTAGTCTGACAGTAAACTATGATTTTCAACAGACTTTCTCATGGTACTTAGATAGTGGCTGTACATCTCACTTGCACAATGACAGAAAGTCATTTTCAGAATTTCATCCTCGAACATATTCCCAGATAAAGCTAGTAATTGACAAAACAGCAACATTTAGAGGAATTGGGACTGTCCTTATATCCCTACCTAATGGAAATGAGACAACTACCCGCACACTCAGAAATGTGCTATGTGTCCCGGAATTAAATTCCAAAGGAATCAAAATTTCAAAGTGATGAATTACTGAATTTTATTCTCTCAGATTTGCGTGGATCAGTGAGAGTCCCATCCCATGCTACATTCACATTATTTTGCTACCTTCGTAGATGATAAGTCACGTAATGTCGAAGTTAGTTTTCTTAAAACTCAAGTCGAAGTAAAAGAAGTGTTCATTAGATACAAAGCTGCAGTCGGAAATCGTCTAGGAAAGAAAATAAAAATCTTTCATACTGGTAACGGTCTCGAATATCGCAGAGAAGAATTTGATAAATATCTTCAAGAATGTGGGATTAAACGAAAATTCTCATCCATGACTCCGCAACAGAATTCGAGTTGAAAGCATGAATAATGCGTTCAGCTCTCAAAACCGGTTAAAATGTGAGTAGTACTTTAACTGAAATAGCCAAATGTCTGTTGTTATTACACCATAATCTCCCACAATCCTTTTCGGCTGAAACCTTTAATTAACCATTGCTGTTTATATACATAGTCCTTGCCTGACTCGACACATGGGAGTAGAGTTATTTTGGGGCATTAAGCCAACTGTATCTTACTTCAAAGTATTCAGTTAGAAAAGTTTCGTACGAAATAAAAGCTCTAAAGGGAAATTCGATCCATCAGAAGAATGTATTTTTATAGGACAGTCAAATGAATGGAAAGCATTGCAGGCTGTGGAATAAAAATTACAGAAAAATCGTTATAAGCTGAGATGTTAGACTCTTTGATGAATTTGAAAACGATACCATCTCTGATAAAGATTTAGTAGTTTTATTTCTTGAAAATACTCCTGATATAAAGAAGGAAGAATCTTTGAATCTAGAGCAAATATAGGCTTATGAAATAACAAAAGACCTCTCGAATGTGGCAGAAGCATCGTCTGAGTAATCTGATAATGAAGATTCTGATTTTGAAGCAATACATCAAATGCAGATTAAAAGGGCACGAGGTGTCCAGAGAAAATCAAGACTGGGAATCCTAGAAGACCAAAGAAGGAGCAACCCAATATAAACATAAATAAGGAAGCATAAATTATTGAAGATGGTACAAATATGACATTAGAAGAATTGCAGGGAGTTAAGTTAGAAAAAATTTTGCTCTGTTTATTTTTAGAATGAAGACAGGATTTAAAGAGCCATTATTATTTAAAAGATAGATATTTTATATTTTACATATATGTGTGTGTGTGTGTGTGTGCTTCGTTTTCTCTCATGTGCATATGCTGTCCATGTCCATCTAATTAAAATGTTGATTAATATTATATTAATCATATATATAATTGATTAATATTAAATGGAAATTATGCTGAAGGCATAAGGTTATGCAAAATGAATATGAAGCATTTGTTAAAAATGGTACATAGAAATTAGTAAAACGGCCACAAAACAAAAAGGTAGTAGGATGTTGTTGGATACTTAGGGTGAAATATAATGCAGATGGCACAGTTCAAAAGAGAAAAGCTCGATTTGTTGCTAGAGGATTTACACAACCTGGAGTTGACTTCAATGAAACTTTTCCTCCAGTAGCCAGAGCAAGCTCTATAAAAACAGGGATTGCATACAATGCTGAAGGAGAACTTATTCTGTGTCAACTAGATTTTGTAATACTATTGTCAACAGAGATTTAAAAGAAGAAATTTTCATAGAACAAGCTAAAGGTTTTTGAAGACCAAAATAATTGTGACTATGATTATGCTCTGCAAAAGTCTCTTTATGGTTTGAAACAAAGTGGAAGACAATGATATGAAAAATTAGACCCAAAACTCAAAAATTTTGGATTACAACCATTACAATCAGATAAGTGTGTTTGCAAGATAACATCTCAAAGTGAATCAATTCTAATTTGTGTATAGATGGCTTAATAATAGCAACAAATAACTGTGATTTATATTCTGAACTTAAAGATTATCTTTCTAAAAAATTTCATGTTAAAGACTTAGGCAAACTTCATTATTGACTTGGAATAGAATTTGATCAAGACGTAAATAAAAATTCTGTCAGTTTATCCCAGGAGAAATATGTTCATAACATTTTACAAAGGTTTAATATGCAAGATGCAGAACCAATAACAGCTCCTTTAGATCCTAGTGTAAAATTAAGTAAAGAAATTGCGCTTCTAAAAGTGGAAAAGAAGAAATGAACAATGTACCTTACCGCCATCTAATTCGTTCATTTATGAATCTTTCCGTAATTACTAGGTTGGATATTACATATGCTATCAGTCACGTGAGCCATTTTAATAACAATCCTGGAAAATTACACTTTTGGCTGCAAAACATGTTATTAAATACTTGAAAATAACTAAGAATTATTGTATGAAATTTCAAAACACTGGAAATACATTTATTGGATATACTGGGGATGTCGACTTGGCAGCTGATGTTCATATTAGAAAATCCTATACAGCTCATCTATTCAGACTTCCTGGAATCACGAAAGTAACAAACTGTTGCATTATCAAATACTGAGGCAGAGTATATCAGTCTTTCAGACAGTGTTAAAGAAGTAATTTATTTACATTGTTTTCTCAAAGAATCAAATTTTAATGCTGACTACCTGACCATTATATATTGTCATGTTCAAGGTGCACATAAGCTTATGAAAAGTACAGTTTACCACTCACTAAATATATAAATATTAGACATCGCTTCATACATGAGATTAATGAGACAAATGAAATAGATGTCAAATATCTGCCAACAGGGAAAATACCTGCTGATGTACTGACAAAAATATTGACTACTTCAAAACATTCTACGTGCTGTAAATTAATTGGAATGACTGTAAACGATTAATCTTTATTTAGCCATTTAGCTTAGAGATTGGATTCTCTTGATGCATGTGTAGTTCACCCTTATCAAGCATACCGTGATGATGCCATCTCTCTCTCTTCTGCTGTATGTATAGATGTGTGTATGTTATGCTTCGTTTTCTCTCCTATGCATATGCTGTCCATGTCCATCTATTTAATTAAAATGTTTATTAATATTATAATCTGTCTGAGCTCATTTTTCCTTTCGTTTTTATGGGCGCAGGAATGTTTCAACTGTGCAGCAAAATATTTTTGTTAAAATGGCACCAAATTGTGCCAAGGGGGTTGTGTTAATACTTAAGTACCGATATTGGTTTGTTCCCAGTTTTATTTTCTATATAAAACCTACGAAGTACTTTACAAAATATTTAACTGATCTTATCTTTTCTGTTACAAGACAACATGCACCAAACGATCTTTTATGGGAGGAAGATATGTGTGCTAATGCTGCAATGTACTACCTCAAATTAAATGTGTTGTTCAAATCTCTTCTAACACTACTCATGTTTTCAGAGTAAGAACTGACAATAAAACGGTTTTCAAGTGTGTCATTCCATTTCATTCTTATTATTTTCTTTTTAATTGAAGCAACTACCAAAGAAATATATTTCTTATGTTTAGGGAAATTTGATCTCTGTCAAAACTGAGTATGAAATTTGTACATATATCTTCCTAGAGGAAATTGTTTGGCACATGTTATTGTGTAATAGAAAAGCTTCAGTATTTAAGCATGGTCTTTCTTTTTAGGTTCGACGAGCTTTCAGGAATATAAGGAAGACGCTTCCTGACATTTTGAATGTGCTAATACTGTTTTTCTTAAGTATATCATTATTTTCCTTGATGGCACAGAAATTGTTTCAGAAAAGGTTAATTGCTTTCTTTCAGTTATAAAATTTCAAATGAATTAGTAAGCATTTTGCTCTTCCTTTTATTATTTATGTGTGTACTCATAGTCTGAAGTGTTTCGGGATACATTGGGTTGGAAAGAAGTAATGCCTTTTCCTTATACTTTTTTTAGCTGGCAGTGTATATAGAATCTTTTATAATGGGATTAAGATAGAGGATTTCATACGGAAAATCCTAATCATGTTGTTAACGTAGGGAATAAAATATGATACCAGTATTCATGCGATTCCGGAAAATGAACGTGCAGTGTATTTAATTCAAAGAAAAACAGCCTTTTCATACAGCAAAAGGAATTCCAATCTTTTATTTTCAAACATAAAGCAAAAAAAAAAAAAAAAAAAAGTAAAATTACACACATTACCACTCACAAAGTAAAAAAAACTGCTAGGAAAAGAAAATCATTAAAACGTAGAGTTAATTCAAACTTTAGATGTGACATCCTCCCACAGCTTAACCCAAATGGAACGTTTTAAAGTTTTTATCAGTCTCTGGGGTGTTCTATCACATTTGGCTGTAAGCTTCTTCATACTAAGTCTTTGGTCCGGTTACAGTCGAAAACGTCACTGCAAAAACATCACGGACGAAAACGTCGCGGAGTAAACAACGCAAGGCAAAAACGTCACGGTACAAAACATCGTGGGATCAAAGAAAGCAAAGAGAAAACATCCTTGTTCCTAAAACATCGTGATATAAAATATCGTCGCCGGAAATAAAACAATAACTTCACAGTTTAAAACCATAGTCTTCGAAAATATCGTGGTAAAAAGTAAATCTTTTACAGATCATTGAAGCACAATAACACCGCAGGTCTGCGTTTTTCAGGCATATGCTGTAAATGTAAAGCCTGAAAAACGCAGGTCTGCGGTGTTATTCGCATAATGATTTGTGAGTGCAAGAAGGAAAAGGAGAACATTTTTTATTTTTATATTTCAGAATTTTGAATTAAACTAACGAAGTTTTGCTGAAAAAGAACTTAGCATTTAAAAACTGAAAATAAATAGAAACTTGATGCAACTTCTAGCACTTAATAGAATTTTAAAAATACACAGTTAACTAATAAAGCATATAAATAAGTTAACCTTTTTCTTAATAAAGTTTTACTAACAGTTTTTCATGAAAAATATATCCTGAAAAAGTTTAGAAAAAGGAAGATAAGTAACTGCATGAGATTACATAAGAATTGTTTAATGAATTATCAAATTATTTTCTTTCACGTTTGTTAATTTATCAGTAAAACTTTGCCAAAAAAATAATTTACTTTACTTCTGACCTTCATTAGTTAATTATGCAAGTTTAAAATTCTATTAAGTGCTATAAATTGCACTAACTTTTCGCTCATTTTCAGCTTTTAAAAGGTTAAGTTTCTTTCTTCCCTTTTCAACAAAACTTTATTAGTTAATTCAAAATTCTGAAATATAAAAATAAAAATGTTCCTCTTTCATTCTTGTGCTCACAAATCATTATATGAATGTATTTACAACTTGTAAAGTCTGAAAAAACGCATGTCTCCGATGTTATCATCATGCGATTATTTGTAAGTGCTTTATTTTTTGCCACGATATTTTCGATGGCGATGTTTTTAAACTGCGAAATTACTGAACCGCTTTATTTTCGACGGCGATGTTTTAGAACTGCTACGTTTTCTCTTTGCTTTCTTTTCTCTGACGATGCTTTGTGCTATGATGTTTTCTCCTTGCGTTGTTTTTTGCACGACATTTTCGTCCACGATGTTTTTGCTGTGACTTTTTCATCGGGCACCCTTTGGTCCACCAAGATTTTCTTCATGTCTTCAGTTCCTCTATTTCTCACAGTAATAGAGAAGGCTGTTGAAATTTTGTCCCTTACTTTAAGATGAAAGCAATAGAACATGACCCTGAAAAAGGAATAATGCCTTGTAGAACCCAGAGCATAGAATTTCAAGGAATAGAACACAGTTCTTCATAGAACATTGAGCTTCAGTAACTAGAACATAGAACTTCAGGGAATGGAACATAGTTCTTCACAGAACTTCCACGTATAGAACATAGTTCTTCACAGAATATATAACATCAGGGAATAGAATATAGTTCTTCACAGAATATATAACATCAGGGAATAGAACATAGAACTTCAGAAATAAAACATAGCTCTTCATATAACATGGAGTTAGACATAAAATTTCAGGAAAAAGAACTTAATTCTTATAATGAGTTGAATATCAGGGAATAGAAATATATTCCTAGAACACTGAATTCTAAGATATAGAACATAGTTGTTCATAGAATAGACAACTTTAGAGAATGAAATATATTTCATCACAGAGAACAGAATTTTATTTAATAGAGCATAGTTCTTTGTAGAACTACTTCACCCACCATTTGCTGTTATGATGATATGGTGGTACTTTACCAAATGTCATGCAAAAATGTTTTTAATGACAATAAAAATGATGTGTTGGCATATTCCAAAACATTGTTTGCTTCTGCATGGAGGGCCCCATTTTGATTAGCAGTGCTTCTAGCAGCAATCTAAAACTTGTGTAATTTTTCAGAATTAATTTGTTTCAGCTTAATAAATGAATTACAGAATTTGTTTTATGGTATTCTTTTTGTCCCATTCAGTATGAAACACCCTGTATTTATACTTCTGAATAATACATTATATTTTGTTAAACTGATAACCTATCAATGGTTTTAATTAAAATGATGGTTGAAATAAATGCTGCTTTTATTCTACAGATGTTTCCCTTCAGAGTTTTTGCTTATTTAGGATATTATGTATTTATACTTCTGAATAATACATTATATTTTGTTAAACTGATAACCTATCAATGGTTTTAATTAAAATGATGGTTGAAATAAATGCTGCTTTTATTCTACAGATGTTTCCCTTCAGAGTTTTTGCTTATTTAGGATATTATTCTTTCTTTCAGGTCTCTGAAGTATCCTGATAATACTCCATATTTTGTTAATTATCTTGATATATATTTTCAGCTGTATGTGCTTGTCACAACTGCTAATAACCCAGATGTTATGTAAGTACTCTTGGTTCGTTTTTGATTTTGGGTCTTAATTTTATTTGAAAGGTGTAACCTCCAATGCATATTTCTTAATTAAAAATATTTTTTAGGATGCCAGCATATGATTCAAGCAGATGGTTTGCATTGTTTTTTATAGCCTATCTCATCATCTGTCTGTATATATTCATGAATATCTTCCTTGCTGTTGTATATAATAATTACCGCAAGCATTTAAAAGTATGTAATCGTAGTGTTTTCTTTGTAAAATATTTTCAACTTTATTTCATAAAATGTGGACGTTTATAGTTTAATAAGTTATGGCATTTTGTTCAGAACATTCAACTGTTACCACGTTATTAGTTTTGATATATGTCAATTCTGCAAGCTAAATTTTACCTCCTTCAAGTTTTTGCTGCATTTGTTCAAAAAAAGTTTAATAATTTTCATTTTATGCCAATGAAATGTTTCTTTATTAATATTCCATTAAAATTTGAAATAGCTAGCATGCAAATATTGTAAATGTCATGCATAAATGTCATTAGATATGCATATATTTATCAGCATAATAGAAATTACATGTTACTGGTTAAGCTCCATAGTATGTGCACTTTTATCACTGGGAGTATTGTGGAGGAAATAAAGTTCCAGTACAGAATTGTTTTTCAAATTAACACTGTATCATGACAAAAGGTATTGTAAATAATTCCATAAAACATATTGTAAATAATTACTTTCAACAACTGAGTAGAAAAGTAGTGGTAAATTTATGCTAACCTTTCATTTATTTGATAAACAGTTTGCATTTTCTCATTACTCATACTACAGTACAAAGTCCGAAATCCGGACTCATCGGGACTTAGGCGATTCGGATTTGGGATTTTTCTGGATATTAGATCATTAGTTTAAATCTATATATGTAGGTATGTAGAAATTATAAAATTAAAAATATGAAATCGTGATTTATGAAATAATGAAGTATTTATGATCTAAAGAGTATCAAAACTTACAAAGAAAAAGCTTAATATTTGTTTGTTTACCTTATTAAACATTTCTTTCAATTTAAGTTATTTAAGTTGCTACATTTTTTGTGCTTTCTCTTTATTTCTGTAGACAGACATAATCTTTTGTTTAGTTACTTTTTTGAAGTCCTGTAAGTGCTGTTTCGAGAATTCCGACTAACTTGTAAATCGAAATTTTCTCATTTACAGTAACTTCTCTGTCACTTTTTTCACTATTGGTAGCGGTATTTTCTGGATTTAGAACCATACTACGGATTTCGCGATTCATTAATTCATTGATGATTGAGAAGCATTGTTATCACAATGAAAAACTTCTTTTATAGCATCTTCATTTATTACCTCTTCTCCATATTTCTTTACAAAGTCCATTAATTAAAAAATTTCACCTTTGTTTTGCGATATCTGATGAAAACCTTTAAAATTAGTGTCTATCATCATAAAAAAACTTTAAAATTAGCTATACTTCACTACATATTTGGCTATGCATCATGAGCTTGGTGACTAACGACAAGTTGTTCTGTTAAATTTTATCTTGCTTCTATCGCGCACTGAGACAATTAAGCCTGAATTTGGTTAGTTTAGTTATTTATTATACTTATGTCTATTTCTTGCATATGCTTAAGGCTTATCAGAGTTCTGAATAAATAAATTTCCACATATACTTAAGCCTTATTGAGGGCCGGCGCTAGATATCTTCTCGCCTGATGCAGTCTCTGTGGGTCCTAAATTCTGCGACTTGGTGTGGCCATACGAGCCCTGGCGCTTGCTGGTTCTGGGTTTATGTGAATAACAAATCAGTTATTCGTAATTCAAATAGCCTAAATGTAAGCTTTGGGTCTATGGGTATCATCAACAAAATATATTTTTAGCATACGGAAAGAAATTTTTGGAGAAATTTTCCTCGTCAACATTTTTAGCACATTTAACTTAAATCTGTAATCATCGCCAAGCATAATGTCAACATAAAAGGTTACCATACTCCTTTATTATTCAATTACTAACATAAAAAAAGTGTTTAGGCATTGTTACATGAATCATTACTCAAATTGTCATGTTTTGATAAACATGCAGTTGTGAAAGGAAAGTATAATAAATAATGATTCGCTCGGTTGGCATTAGATCAACAACGTATCTATATGGAATGTTTTGGTTTGAGATGTGTGTCAAAGCAGATCTGCAGCAACGGAGCCAAAATACTGATCGTATAGATTTATGCGAAAATGATTATTTCTTCAATAACAAGGTATTTTATTTAGTGTCGAAGTGAGATTAAGAATTGGGACTTTCTGGATGTTTTATTATGCGTGGAGGGGGAATCAAATGTACATGTGTAAAGCCTGTGAGGAAAACGTTGTTGGTAGTTTTGAGGTCCGGATTTTAGATCATTCCGGATAATGGACGTTTGTAATGTCTAAAATCTTCTAAAATTAATCGTATTTTAATTCCCCATAAATTGAATATTAGGCATTTGAATATCCTACTGCGTTAAATTCAGAATACTGGTATGCAGATTTTGTGCTTAAAAATGCATTTTATGCTGTGGTTTACATAATAGGCTATGATTAGAATGATATAAAATAAACCTCATCACAGATTTTTAATGTGAGATTTAGAAAAGGTAACAAAATCTGTCATGAAGACCCTTCAGAACTTTCATGGAATTAAAGATATAAAAAAGCTATACAAGGTTTTTAAGAAAGCTGACTATAAATTCTGTTCCTTAAACATTCAGATAAGAGAGCATTAAGAATGAAGAGAAAACATAAGTCTGTGATCTGATGAATGAAATTATAAGTTTTATTTAAATTAAATATTTATATTCTAACCCTGTTGGCAGTAAATGTATGGAATATTTTAGCTAATTTCATAAAATTATTGAGTCTACACTGCATACATGTAATCATCAGAAGACAGAAACATTTTTTGTAGAGAAGTGCAATTTCTTTGTCATCTTTCATGAATTCTGATGTAATAATCATAATTATCATATAATACTGAGTCACGTTTAAATATAGAAAATTTTAATGTAGATTATATTTTTCCATGTGAAGGGCTTTAATGAAACCAGAAATATCACATTTAATTATTTTTCAATAGTGATGGAAAAATTTGGCAGATTGTCTAAAGTGCTGAAACTTCTATATCTCTTCAGTATCTCAGTTTGGAATTATCGTCTAAAATTTTCTGAATGTGTCTTCCTTCCTTTAAACTTCCCTTGAATTTTCAATGAGAATTTAGAAGTAAATTTTACCCTGAGGTTTTCTGCTTTTCACGTTTCTGCTTGCATTAACACTCCATCCTTCCCTCCTCCCTTAATGAAATTCACATTTTTTCCCCTTCTGCTGTCATTTTAACAAGTATTTTTCAAAATGTGCTTTTTTTTATTACATTCAAATTGTAGATTTTTCATATAAATTAACATTAAATAAAAATAGTTGCTCATTTTCCCTTCTCTCTTCAGCGGTTCTTTATGAAATAATTTTGTTGAAGACAAATATTTGGGGCAAGCACTGAATATTGAGGAAACAGCATTTCCTTTCAATCATACTTGTTTTAATGGAACTTCTATTTTCTTCCCCATTTTTTTCATCATATTTCTCAGAAACATGCTGAAAATCTTTCTCATGGAAATGTAATTCACAGACCTAAATCCGGAAAATGTAAAAATAGGCCTAATTAAATTAATTTTATAAAGTAATAAATGTAAGATTTCTTGTAATGCAATTTATTTTTTAACAAAACAGGTAATATCAAGCATATGTGTCTTTATTTCCCACTCGGGGGGGGGAGGGGAAGGATTCTTAGTGGCATAAGATTTAATAATATTTCGATTTTCATGTACAGTACAAAGTCCGTAATCCGGACTCATCGCGATTCCGGATTAAGGTTTTTTCCGGATTATAGATCATCAATTTAAATCTGGTAAGATGGCATGCAGAAATTATACAATTAAAAATATGAAATAAAGAGCAATTATAATCTAAAGGGTATCAAAATTTACCAAAAAAAAAAAGCTTAATATTTATTTTTTTACTTTATTAACCATTTCTTTCAATGTAAGTTGTTTAAGTTGCTTCATTTTTTAAACGCGCATGCGTAAGTTTGTGGCTTTGAGGTCCGGATTATAGATCATTCCGGATAATGGACGTCCGGATATCACACTTTGTACTGTATAAAGAATTTAATTTATTACTTATTTTATGAAAAACTATGTACTTTATATTACAATTTAAAAAAAAAATAAGCATATTTATTCCCTTCACAGTCTCTTTACAAAAACTTATAGTACAAAAATATATTAAATGTTAAATTATATACTTTAATTTTCTGCTGTAATAAGTTCCAAGTTATAAAATTAATCAAAAAGTAAAAAATTGGCGATTTTAAAAATGAAGTGACTATTTAGCATACAATTCGATACATAATTATTAACCATACAATTCGATACATAATTATACTAAATAATACTACGTGATTAATACTGCGTGATTACTTTACACAATATTATACACAATGGTATATTCAAATGAAATTCCTTAATATTACCGCATCCATTCTTTTAAATAAATACGGAAACAAATACCTTAATAAATTTAAATTTCAAGTTAGGCTTAACTTATCCTAGAATACTTTGGAAATGGTAAAATTTTCTTATGGTATACATCTTTTTGTTTAGGAAATGTATATACTGACACTTTAGGGCCATCACTATAATATCCTTGGTATAATGGCACACAACACTTTAAAGGCATAATGAAAAATGAAAAAAAATTATCAATACTTAAATTAAGCAGACAGTAAACCTACTAAAAAACGGTTTGTTTCATTAATGCATCCTCTCATGATTTCCCTAATTTGCTCGTGCCTTCTGGATGGCCTTGGGCCAAAGGGGCTATTTTTCGCACCCCATCGAGATAGCCAACTGTTTGTGATGTTACTAAACTACGAGCCTTCAGTAGGGAGGCTTGTGTTTAAGAAGATGTTGACTGTACCATGGTAAGCTGGTCATGGATCCAATTTCTACTTACTGGTTCATTCTCTTGAAGAAATAACAGAGGTAAGCCAAGAGTTACGACATCTGCAGATGCATATATTTGTGACTTTGTGCATATCGCAACAGAACTGCATCTTCAAGGACAGCATCAGCCATGAAAATGCACAGAATGCTGTATGAAGGAGGTCTGTATGCTAGGGGACCGGCACTTTACATCCCACTTTCTGCCACCAGATGGAACATATGAATTGGGGATGAAATTATGTAAATTGGACTGCATATCACTGTAAGTCTATTCTGTTCACTAATTAGTCCGGCTTTGCTTTACAGAGTGATTCTTGGCATGTTTACATATGAAGAAAAACAAACACTTGATATCTTCCACCTAACATATGGGAAAGGGATACTTATGCAGGAGGTAGTGTTCTTGTATGGAGAGGAACATCTTTAAGTTGGCATGCAGACTTGGATGTGTTGCTGTACGGAACTATGAATGTTTTGAGGTATAGAAATGACATACTGGATCGTATTTTCATCCGTATGCTGCTGCAATTGGCGATACCTTCATTTTACAAGCAGATAATATCCTCTGTCACACTGCTCTCCTTATGCTCCAAATTCTTGTAGACTCTGTAGTCCAAATGGAAAGCCAGCATGCTTTCCTGACCGTAATCCCATTGATCATGTGTGGAATGCTATCGGGGGCTTTCAACCTCCTCTCTAAACCCTAAATGGGATTAGAATTACTTTACTTGATCAATGGGCAATGCTACCATTCAATTTATTGAGAACATCATAAACAGCGTGAGATATCTCTGCTAGGCCTGTATTGCTGTTTGTGATTATAGTCACTATTGAAAGTTTTTTTATTTAATTTTTTTGTCTATATTTAGGAGATTTTATATTCCTGTTGGTATTCTAAAATGTAAATATTGTATGTAGCATTTTCTTGTGTTTTTAAGTTATGAAAGGCATAATAAATATTTGAACCAAATTTCGTCCACTTTGCTTGCATACTTTTTGAGTTATCATTATTTTTCCGTTTGTTGCTTAACATTTTGAAACCAGTGTATTTTGATTAAAAGGTGATTGCTTTCAAAACAAAATACAGTTGAGTGTTAGAAGCATACTACAATATTATTGCACATGTGTATTCATCAGAACTTTTTTAATCTGTTAATTTGTTAATTGTTAGAGAAATTTTGAATGTTTAAATATTTTAAAATTTTTCATATAATTTGCCCTAATAAAAATAAGTATTATATAAGACTGTGATTGTTAATGAATGTACTGCTAGTGGAATTTTAAATTGAAATTTTTGTACTTGAAAATTGTTTTTCTTATAATTTTTTGTGTATTATTTTCCCTGTAATATGTCGTCTTACTGGGAAATGAATAATTTATTATATAACGCACCAGGTTATTCCAAGTAACTGAATCGATTTCAAATGGCTTTGTTTTCAAAATTAACAAATATATTAATAAGTAATAAATTAAATAGAAGGAGCACTGACCAAGATTTACTTACAAGTATGACTACCTTTAGTTCCAAGAAGATCATCAACATGGTAATTACTTGCTATTCATCTTTCAGTCTATCCTTTGTTACTGTCTTTTTGGTAGTAGCAATGTCGTTTTTAAGATCATTTAGGCTTGTGTATATATGAGCTAGGGATGTTGGTGGCCAGCCTGGGACTCATGCCATCAAATCTTCTAAGAGATGAAAGATATCTAATGACCACTTCATGATGAAAATGAGGAATTTCTAAATGCCAGTGCTTTACCATCTCACCAAAAAGTGCTGTTTTTAAAATCTTCATTTAATTAAGAAATAGCCGTATTTGTAGCCTATTTTAATAGATGTTTGCAGTTGCTGTGTTTTCAACATATATCAGCTGTAGCATTTGTGAAAGTAATGCACAACTGATACAGAACATTATATGAAAAAATTTTAAGAAGGGCTAGGGAGAATTTAGGATAAAGAGAAAACTCTACTGGAATAAAAGTGTGACCTTGAAAAATAAGATTACAAGTTTTATTTAAATTACATATTTGTATTTTATATCTGTTAGCAACAAATGCATGGAATGTCTTAACTGTTTTTGTAAAATTCTTGAAGAATCTATAGATCTCATAAAGGTCATCAAAATAAAATGATACATGAACTATTGAAATTTGCTATTAATTCTTATTACATGAATTAGGAAGTAAATATTTTTTATATCTTTCTTGGATATGTTGGGTCAAGCTGTAATGTAGCCAATTTTAAGTACACTGTTTCTGCACAAAACCAGAATCAGCAAACCAGAAATATCATATTTAGTTATTTTGCAGTGTTGATAATGCAGTTTGGTATCTTATGGAATGTGCCAGAAGTTTTATATCTATTCAGCTGGAAGCTCAGTTCCTTTGGCCATATCATGCAACACTCTAAACTCCTGAATGGGAATGTTATAATGAAGAGAAGTTTGAAAATACATAATTCCACATAAAATCTTGATAAAGCACATTTGATTATTTATGAAAGTTTAACTTTCTTACAGTAACCAAGGGTTAATTTTTTATGTTAGAAGTGGCATATCCCTGAAGAAGGTGGCAGCAAAGCTAATTAATAAAAGTAAATAAAATAATATATAATTAAAGTGAAGAAATATAAAGTAATAAGTTAATAACAAATTGTTAAATAATAACTTAAAATACCCAGCCTTATCTTGTTTAACCCTTTTCGGCACGCTACCTTTTAACGTCGGAGTTTCGATAAAAAAAATAAAAGGTAGGCAGTCCAATTAGGCCTAGAGAAGAACACAAGTAAAATTTTGTGAAGATAGCACTTATCGTTTTAATTCTGTGGGTGTGCCCAAAGTGGCACACTGATTGAATAGAGCTTCGAAAAGAATGCTGAAACGAGCATTGTTGTCAATGAACTGACTGATGAGATGCGGAGAAACAAAGAATACAGACTCTCAGTTGTCCTACGTTATTGGTGAGCCCGATCTGGGCACACCTAGGGTTCGCCGTTTGATTTTAAGCAAGATGTCAAGGACAAAATTTAAAACTAATATAGAATAAGGAGATTAGCATACAGCCAAAAAATAACATAGAAATTTCTTTTCAAATAATTCCTTTTATACCCTGAAACAAATCTGGAAGATTTTTTTGAAAAATGAGGGTCTTAAAAAACTAAACATGGCTAAAATATATGACTGGTTTGTGTTGAGCTGAAAGAAATAAAGAAGGTTCAGAGTAACCTATAAATCCTTTTTCATTCACTTTTTCTGTGCGTAGAGAAAGAAATTTTTAGGTGTGTCCAGACCGGACACACTGTGCCGCAAAGGGTTAAGGCTCCCTCTCAAACTGCAGTTTGACTCAGAAGCTGAGAAGTACTAGAGACAGGATCTGGCTGATTTTAAGTTTAACAATCCTATACTTTCTGTAAATCAATTATTATTTTTTTATAATTTTTGTCATCTAAGATTTTATACAGTTTTAATCTTAAAGATAACTGTTAACCAGTATTCGTTCAGGTTATAAGAAAATTTTTATATTTAAGTTACTCTATTTGTTACAAAAATCAGGTTTATTTACAGTTTATTGTTCATTATATGATTTCATATGTTCTATGTTACGTCTTTTCAGAGGTTTCAAAATTAGACCTACACTTTTATGTACATTACTTGTCATTAGTGTTAATACTTCTGACAATGCAAGTGTTTTTTTATAGGATGTACTATTTGATAGATACAGATCCGGTTTTAACTAGGTGAGATGTTTTTAGTGTTATGGATTTTAGTGCATGTTTCTGTCTGTTTTATTTTTTAGCATTTTTTGTATTCGTTTGCTGCAGTAATGTGTGCATAGATTTTAATTCATTGTTTTTCAGCATGCTTTCTTCATTAAAATGCATGTGTAATTTGCATCAGTGTTTTGTTTTCCTAGAAAAAATTTCATGCTTTTTGTTGTTCATTATTTGCAGCATTGTTATTAGTTGCATATGGTGGTTGCTGATTGCATTTTGTTTTGCTGTAGAATGAAGTGCGCAAACTAGTCTACATGAAAAGGCAAAGTCTTTCTAGAGCATTTGATCTGCTGAAAGTTAAAATAGATGGCAAATTTATTCTGGATTTTAAAAGATTTAATGTATTACTCAAGATGATCCCTCCTGTTCGGAGTCCTATGATGGTTAATATATTGTGGTATGTTTTGGACAGTGATGGAGATAACACTATAGGTGATTGAATATTATATCTTATTATACCATTATGATTTTTAATTAATAATTTTGTAACAGAAGGTGAAATATTCATTTAAGTTGTGAAAAATAGAAAAACAGTTAATTTTTTTTACTGTTTTTTTTGGTTTAGCTATTTGATTTCATTTGCCACAGAGAGAGATTGCATTTTATCTTAATTTTATCAGCGTAGATTTCATGAAAATATCGACTTATCATTAATTCACTTAAGTACGCTGAATTGTATTGTAGCTCTTTTGAGTGTTTCTCCCTTTTTATATTTTAACATTCATATAACAAGATTCAGTGTACTTTAGAAGTATTAAAATTTTTATGCTAACAAGTGTTTAGTACCTTAAATAAGTTTTCAAAAGTGTAGTGTATAAGTTTGCATGGATAATCTAATAACTAAACTGATTCCTAGGAATCCCAGGATTATATTAAAGTTTTTTATGCATTTCATCAAGCTGATTGTTTAAAATATAAAATTTTGTTTTCGTATTGCTATTTCTATTCTATGCTTTAGATATATTTGTCACATAAAATCTGATGAATGCAGTAACAAATTTAAAACCTGATGAAAATTACCAAACTTTAACTTTTTATATAACCACTGCAGAACAAAAACCTTGATTGTAAATATTCGTTGTGTTGTAAAAAAGTTAAATATAAAAAATTTGCTGTTTTTGCGTGCAAAACTCAATGAGATACAAGCAGTTAATAATATCTAGGGGCAAAGTGCTAGTGCTGTTTTACCTAATGCGTTTTCATTCATTTCCTTTGTTTGAGTGGCTCAACAAAACACTTGGTTTAAAAAGTAGTTTTCATCTGCGTAGGAAAACTGTTTGGGGGAAAACTTAATTATTTAAGGAAAATGTAAAGGAACATTTCGTTTTAGCTGAAAATTGAAAGGTGGTCAAAGGTTTATATTAATTAACCTGCTAGTTTATCATTTTACCAATACTATTGCTTCTACTTTCATCATCCCTTACTAGGTTGCAAATTAACTTACGTGTGTATCAGAACAGAATTCTTGAAAGGTAGAAAGAAAGCTGTGGCAGTGATGCTGACCATTATGCTTTTTGCATAGCCAGCTGTAAAAAAATTGTTTTAGACTTCTGTGTAGCCTTTTACTAGCCGAGTTACTCCCACAAATTAGGTTAAGACAATGGTTTTATAGGATTTAGGTGTTTATAATTTCCAGAATTAAATTACTTTAAATTTAAGTTCATTTTGTTTTAGCTGAATACTGCAAGCTTCAAAGATGATTCTGTAAGCACAAGCTGTGCATTTGTTAACATTTAAGTTTTAAACAAAAAGGTTTGTTTTAACCTTCTTCTGGCTTTATAATTTGCTTTAATAGATGGGGTAATAAGTTGTCTGACAATATCAGTAGAGACTAAGTTAGTTAAATAAGTAAGTAATTCTCTAAAGTCAGCAAATTAATTTTTTCACCGTACGGGAAGTACATAAAAACTTTACTTTTATATTTTAAAAAATATTGAACACTTCCCAGTGCTGAAACAAGACTCATAAAATTCTCTGCTTTATTTAGAGAGGCACGGTAACTTCCGACCTAGGGAAAATAGTTAAAGGATATATCCATAAAGGATTTATCCATAAAAAGTAAGTGTGCACTTACTTTTTATGGATACTCTGTGTACTGTATCCGAAACTTTCACATGGAACTTTCATTTCCTATATAAATGGTAAGACATATCAAAATCAAATAGCTGAACTTTGTCTTCACTTTTCATATCCAAGCTCAATTTATAATGATATTCAATATGGTTTACAGGAACATGTATGAGATAACTTCATAAACCGTCCCTGCTGTAAATTCTGTCCAAGTTCTTTAGTATTTCAGGGAGTGGTAAATTACTTTTAAATGCATTCAGATTAATTCAATAGATCATTTTACACAATGTGCATTGCTTCATGTATTTCTGAATTCCATGCTTAAAATTGCATGGATTTTTCCTTTCTGGAATTTATGGAAGCCAATTTAGATGAATATATGGATAAATTCAGTTCTTACATCTACAAATCTCTCTTATTTTAACTATTGAATCCTAGCCAGCCTGCAAGTCATAATATTCAGTCGCTAAATTAATAGATATAAGTTGTAAAATAAAAATGCACTTTAAAATATCTAAATTTATTTGTTTATATTGTTACGAATTTTGTACATAGATAAATAATTTTGGTTAAATTATGTGTGAAATAGCATTTTTTTCTGTATAATGTAACATGAAAAATCTGAAGGTACAATGTTCTGTCGGCAAAATAAGAATACTAAGGCAAGTGCAAATCTATTTAACATTGAGTAAATGGCTATCTTCCTAAATTCGCGAGATATTGCCAAGGTGGCGATGGTTTTAGCTACTAATTTTTATCGACAAATTTGGCGATAAATCAGTGAAAGTCACCAAACCTGCGACATTTTGGTTCGGTTCCTGTATCACCGTAATAGTTATTGTAATTGAATAACTGTAATCGATTTCATATGCCATCCAGTAATTTCAAGAAGCAGAAAATAGTAAAAACCTCTCAGCGCCCTGGGAGAGAATTATATAATATCAGGGAGAGCATGAGTTTCTTGGTTGTTAGTTTAGTATGAGTTCAGAGTACTAATTGGGTTAGCATCGCTCTTTAGATCCGCTTTGGATTGCATTGTGTTTAAACATTCTTAATAGTTTGAAGTGTAACTTCTGATTGTACTCTCTGATACTGTGAAGGATTGTACAACTATTTTTGTGGAAAGTTCCAGAACTGGGAAGTATTTTATTTGGTAAAATTTATCAAATTATCATCAGTTCTGTGTGCATTCAATCCATTACAAATCTGCATGCATGCGACAGTATGCATAGTTTTAAAGCATGATACAGAACTGCTAAGTTTTCTGCATGCGTTTAATTAGTTGCCATTCATAAGTTATTACATTCTAAATGTTATGTCTTCCTTTTTTAAGCATTTAAAAGATAATCTGCAAGTATCTGGCCGGCTATTTAAGCACCCTTCCACTTCTTTTTTGACCCTTCCACTTTGTGTCCACTATTTTTGAGTTCATGAAGTTCAGTAGTTTATCCTTGAACATAACGTTTAATCTTTCTTTTTTCCCTCAATTCTTCAATTTTGTAATTAGAGGTTGGAATTAGAGTATAAATGTTTGAGTCATTATTATCTTTTTCTGTTGTATTCATACGTCCTCTACTTAAAATGTCTGCTATTATTAAGTAAAATTGAAGTTTTGTGCAATTAGAAGCTGTGATTTTGTTTCTGAAAATTTGTTTAATATATGTAAAATTAAAAATAGTAATAAGAGATATATCTAATAAGCTATTTTTTGCTTCAAAACTTTCATTCACATTCTTAATCCGCTTGTTATCTTTAAGTCATTTATGTGCACTTATTTGTATTATGAATATGTTATATATCATAGAGAAAAATATAAAGGGACCATGAAAAAAAAAATCTTTCTTTTAAAAGGAGTTGATGCAAGAAAAGAGTTTGGAATCTCAAATCTAGATCATACTTTTGTATGTTTAACATTTTTTTTTAATTGCTGAGGTGCCTTACAAAGGTTTTTTAGTTATGCTTTTTAATGCTCAATGATCAGTTTCAACCATGATATGTTTGCCATACATATGCTCATGAAATCTAGAACATCCAAAAATAATAGCTAAAAGTTATTTTTCTTTCTGACTTCTGAAATTTTTTACTCTTAGTTCTAGCCCTGGATAAGCTCTATCACTTTCGCTAGTGGCCAGTCTAAGTGTTTTTTACTACCGCGGCACGCAATGAATTGGAAGTTGATCTGTCAGCACTATCCTTATCTTCAGGGCAGATGTTTTTATTTTATTCAGCTTATAATTCCTTACTCAATGTAGTATTTCATCTCAATGTACTCCGTCTTTGATATGATTTAAATCAAATTCCTCATCATTATAATTCGCTTCCGATAGTGAAGAAAGTGACACAGAGGTTATTGAAAACAAAATAATTTCGATTGACAAATTAGTTGGTATTCTCAACACAGCAATTACAGGACTTGAACAGCGGAACTTTGTAACTGAACAAGAAATTATGTCTGTTTATAGAATTAAAGAGAAAGTATTATCACATAAAACAAAGCAACTTAAACAACTTACATTGAAAGAAATGTTTAATAATGTAAACAAATAAATATTAAGCTTTTTTTTTTTTTTTTTTTTTTTTTTTTTTTTTTTTTTTTTTTTTTTTTTTTTGTAAATTTTGATACCCTTTAGATCATAATTGTTCTTTATTCTAAAATTACGGTTTCATATTTTTAATTTTATAATTTCTGCATGCCATCTTACCAGATTTAAACTGATGATCTATAATCCGGAATCGCCGAAGTCCCGACGAGTCCGGATTAACGACTTTTGACTGTATTCATTGTGTGTTGCATAGACACAACTTAGTAGCAAAATATCTGAGTTCAGAGTTACATGAAGCTTTACAGTTTTGTATTAAATCTATTAATCAAATTAAAGCTCAACCTCTTAAATCAAGATTATTTGCCAAACTTTGTGAGGAAAACAATGTGTTATTTAACCAATTACTTCTGCACACTGAGGTTAGATGGTTGTCTAGAGGTGTATGCTTGCAACGGCTCGTCAATTTATTTGACTCCACGACAGAATTTCTGAACGAAATAAATCCTGTTCTAAGCAATGTACTCCAAAACAATAAGAACCATATTTTTTATTTAGCAGACTTATTTGGAAAATTTAATGACATTCAAACAAAACTGCAAGGAAAAGATGTAACAATTATCCAAGCTCAGACAATACTGTTAGGCTTCCAAGTAAAATTAAATTTATTTAGATCTTCATTGCTACATAAGGATTATAAGTATTTTTCAAATCTGCAACAATTAAAAATAAAAGAAGACTTGGAAATATATACAAATCATCTTCAAAAATTAAGCGACGATTTTAAACTGCGCTTTGTTGATTTGGAAAACATCGACATCCCTGATTGGATTATTGCGCCATTTTCGGCGCAAATTGATAACGTCGACATCAACATACAAGATGAGCTTGCTGAACTATTGTCCGATCTTGAAGCAAAAATGCTTATTAAAAAATTGGCAATACATAAATTTTGGACTAATATAAATATAAAGCAAAAATATGTGAAACTTTAGAAATGGCTCAGCCATTTATGCTGGCGTTTCCAAGTTCGTATATGGTTGAAGCCGGTTTCAGTCACGTTAATTCAATTTTAACTAAAAACAGAAATAAATCAAATGTGGAGCTTCGAGGGGATAAAATTGACTAATTGTACGGTTAAAATTGACTAATTTCGAACCCAATATAGCGAACCTTGCCAAGAAACACCAGGCACACCTCATTAAAAAGTAGTAAAAAATCTGTAGCTACTTTACTTACTATTTCTGATTTATTAAATATTTAGACTAATATATAGTTTTATTTTAATTACCTGAAAATTACCTTTGTGGGGGTCTATGGAGATTTCGAAAAATTATATAGGGGGCGATGATCAAAAAAGTTTGGCGACCCCTGGTTTAAATACTAGCTGCTGCTCTTGCAAAATTATTTTCATCGTCGCTATAAATTATAGATGTTGATCTTTTGTAATTAGACTATTCTTGAATTGTAACATCAAAACCAACCTATCACTGCACAAATGTACTTTGAGAAATGACTATAATATTAGTTTATATTTTCCAACTGAACACTCATTAAGATTTAACACATTTTTTTCTTCTCCACTGAGACTTCTTCATAGGTGGGAGGAGCAAAGAGAGACATCTGTCTCCGATGGCAGCATCCAGGGGGCACCAAATTGATGTTAAAAATTTTTAGATTGAATGTTTACCATTTGTGGCAAACCAAAGGGGGCATGAAATCTTCAGTTTTGCCAGTGTACTAAAACCGTAGCTACAGCTGTGCAGTAACCAGTAAGCAAATTTATACAGTTTTGAATCATAACGTATAAGTGCTGGAGAATTTTTTCTGAGGACTGGTTATATGTGTAATAAACTGTAATTATCTTGTAGAAAGAACAATTTAGTGTCAAAATAAAACTTCCATTTGACATTGTTTGTTTTGAATTTAATGGAACAGCTGCAAACCCAGACTGTGACAGAAGGATAAGTTTGATTTAATTCTGTCCGTTTGAAACGCAGTGGGATATTATGAACTTTAATTTAAAAAAAATATTAAAAAATACATTATTATTTCTTAATGTATGAGATGAAATACTACACATAATAATTTTAACTTATTTACAGAAAACATATACAAACATTAATAGATAAAAAAACTATTATTTCTGCATTTTGGATTGAACATGCACCACACAGATTGAAAAGTAGAAAGGTCTGTTAGTAAGCAGTGTAAGAATAATATACAGCTCATCAATACAGTTATCACAATACTGTTGCCATTCAATAAGAATATTGTTCTTTATAAGTAAGGAGTCAAGATTTAATGGGACAAGCTTTATATCATGTGATTTTAGAGGAAATTGGGGAAAAAATTTACTTATTGTAGTCCTGTCAGAATGTTAGTATTCAAGGGGGAAAATGGCCAATTTTCCACATTTAGTTGAAATGTGCAGTTTCCTCATTGGTAGATTTAGTATTAAGAGAAATAGAATTCAAACTAACTTTCACAGCTGAAAGCAGTACAATTATTAGCAGTTTCAGTGTTACGTATGTTGTTAAACTTGCATAGTTGAAGTAAGTAAAAAATTAGATGTGTAAGGATAAAAAAAGTTATTTACTCAGTAAAATATTACCAAGTCTAAAAATATGCGAGCACACATCAACAGTAATATACATGCAGAAAAACATAAGAAATGAAAGTAGTAGTATATGTTATATATGTGGGTATAATTAGAGCTTCTAATGGTTAAGATTAAAATTACATGCATAACATTTATTTTAAATGCTTGTCCAGTAATGTTACGAATTGTGAGACTCATTATGCTAAGCCCCATATATTATTGTTTTTCACAAGTTAGTATATTTTAACTTAATTTCTTTTCTTAATTCTCTGTTGCCACTAAATTAGGTTCATATATCTGTATCTGTGAATGAGTCTTGGTTATAATACTATAGTAATTCTGTACTGTTTTATTTTAATTTCTGAACTCTTTTTCTATTTCAGGAAAAGCTGACTTCTTACAGCTTGCTGATTTACTAAATGTCACTGTATCAGAAATTAAAGATAGACGGAGTGTATTTGATCGTTTACTGCCAGATTGTTATCAAAGTAAACCATCAAAAATGTTTCGGAAAGCTGTTGCTCATAAGTATGTATGTAATGTCATTAATCAAGCATAACATTGTAATTTTACTCTAAGTAAAATATCTGGAATTGCACAATCAAATCAGAATTTTGTATTTAGTTGAAAGCTAATGTAAAATATGTTCCTGCAAGTAAATTTCTTGAATGTCATTAATAAATCTGATTTCCTCATAAAATGATTAAAGCCATTAAAAACTGATAATTTAACTGTTAGTTTGAATCAGTAAGCTGCTTGAGTATTTTTATGTCCCTTACATGTGATGTACTATGAGCCTGTCTTCCCTAAAATCTGAAGGGAGGGGAAGGAAGAAAGAGAAAATCAAAATGGATCAAAAGTTTCTTTTCCTTTCTGTCTGAGAAACAATTTTAGACCATTCTCTTTTTTTCCCCTTCCCTTTTCAAGGAGCATCTCCCTTCTCCTTTCTTAAGATGCCTCTCTCTTAAGGCAGTTTACTTTTAAATAATATGTCTTAAACAAATGCTAAATCTAATCAGATATTTTAATCATGTAAGTTATGTAATGTTGTTTTGAGGAAGTACACTAAACTGGCTTAAATAATTTTAGTTCTAGGTATACTAATTTCAATTTTTTATGTGTTAGGTACTTCCGTTATTTCTTTGACCTTATGATACTTCTGAATGCTTTTTTAATTGCCCTTGATATTGGTGATGCTGAATGGGCCTTTTTGGTGCTCTTTACTGCAGAAATTTTAATGAAGATGTATACATTTGGTCTGCTGTATTTCTTCAGAAGATTTTGGAATATGTAAGTGAATCTATCTTTAACAATTTTTATAGTTGAATTTTAAGGCCATGTATTCAAAGTAACTATATTAGCTCTTTTGTTAATTGTGAAACTGTAAGACTCTGTCTCTCTTGTGTGTGTGTGTCTGCATGCATGCATTTGACATACACACATTTGAGAGAGAGAGAGTTTATTCTCTTCTGTGCTCCAAAAAAACGTGGTCCATTACAGTGGTCTTGCGCATCAGGTGGCACTAAATGCTTTGGCATATTAAATGACCGAATTCAATCAAAATCCAAGAACATTGTTGAGATATTATACCAAATTAAATCTTAGAAGTGTTCCAGCATTTTAAGCTTCCTACTTTTTTTTTTTTTTTTTTTTTTTTTTTTGTTTGTGTGTGTGTGTGTGTTGGGTGGAGTCTGAAATAGATGCTCATTATCCATTTTTATATCTCTGGTATGATTGTACACAGAGTCCAATGTATATATCTTTATACAGGATAAAGGGGGGAAATCTGTTTGTCTGTAAGTGATTGAATTCGCTGTGTCGATAGATATACACATGAACGAATTATTAGAATAAATGCAATCACTCTTTGAAATTTACTGTTTATTTACCATAGCAACACTCATATGTTACTCTCAAAAATCTAACATCTCAATTTTACCATTACAGAAAAAGAATGCACAGTAAAATACATTATCTGATGAATTATCAAATTGTTGCCACATATTTAATACAAATACTATAATAAAATTAAAAAGATATGTTACAGAAATTAAACAAAAAAAAGAACAGTTTTTCACAGATGAACAGCGTCGCTTACAATTAACTTGCATGTGCCGCTCCTAAACATTCTCCTCTCTCTGAGACAGACTGGTGACAGTATTTTTGTCTGCTACTTCATGGTACTCCTGTCTTTGAAATTAACAGTTTCAAAACTATTATTACAAAGGACTAAATATAAAGACACTACAATAAAATACTAACAAGAACAAATTATAATACTGAAGAATATATATTTAGATCATTTCAGTAAAGATTTTCAGTGATTATCTGTTAACATTTACTCAAATTTTAGCAATAAATAAGTGTTTATAGTAGAGATATACAAAATCATTCTACTGGAAGTAGAAAAATATCTCGAACATTTTGTTTTAAGAAAATTTGAGAAACAATATTACAGTTACTGCTCTTGCCTTGTTACTCCTATCATGAAAAACCTCAGCTATTCTCCCCACTAACCATTTGGTTGAAGGTCAATTTTCATCTTTTATTTATACAACAGTTCCCAACTAAATGTCTTCTTTTAAAAATTTCCACTTGTGACATTCTTGTAAATTATTAAGATTATCACGTTTCCATAATTTCCAAATTTTCTGAGTGTACTTAGTAATTATTTGCCATTTAGGAAGTCTGTTTTCATTCATGTTGGATAAATCTGCCTCAGAAAGAGTTGTGAGAGGTCTGCCAACTAAAAAGTGACCTGGAGTCAAAGTTTCAAAATTGTTGTAATCAGCTGAAATCGGAGTGAGAGGTCTTGAGTTCAGTACTCCTTCAATTTCTGTTAAAATAGTTAAGAATTCTTCTAAAGTTTAGCGCTGATTACCAGCAACTCTTTTCAAATGACTCTTTAATAATTTAACCTTGGTTTTCGAAATTCTGCTGAAATTTGGTGACCTGGGAGAAATGAATTACACTCCATATCTTTAGTGGTATATAAAATTTGCTAAATTCTCATTTGGACAGGCAACCAATTTTTGCAATTTTTTTATTTCTGTATTAGTTCCCATAAAAGTTTTAGAATTATCACTCATTATTGTAGAATATTTTCCCCTTCTAGAGAAAAAAACGTTTAAGCTTACAAATAAAATATTGGCTAGTTTGGTCTGTTACAAAGTGTGGCTTTTCTACTCATACATATGCATACTATGACATTCATTTTGTTCAAAATTCCCATACATTGATTCTTAAACTTTATAGCAAATGGGCCGCAGAAATCAACACCAGTGGTGTTAAATGGGTATGATGGTGTAACGTTCTTTTTGGGCAACTCAGCCATTAATTGTTGAATTGTGCTTACCTGGTAAAACAACAGGGTGTTTTGTTATTAGCAGGTAGTCCAAATGGAACAATCGTATTACAGCCCACTCTAATTAGTCCCATGTTATCGTGAAAGAGATTGACGGATGAACATGCTTACGCCTTCTTAGCTGATTTATTTCTTTTCCAAACTCACTTTTTTGGGCCTCTAATAAAATCCACACCTCAGCTGTTTTTATCTCTTGTAAAGATGGTACTCCATACCTCCTTACTTTGGGAATCTTGTAATTATGGATAAACCAGAAAATGAAACTTACAACACGAATAAGTTTAGTATAATTAGCAGACAAATTAAGAATCTCATAAAAAGTTTTAGTTTACTACATGCAATTAATGCTTATTCTCCAGACGCTACATGCTTATTCCCCTGATATGTCATCCCTTGAGCATGTCTGAGATTTCATTGGTTAGCGACTCGCTCATACACAATTGATAAATTCTGAATTCTGCAGGCAGGGGTGCTGCATTTAATCTCTCTGTATAGGAATGGATGCTTTACTGTAGGTAGATATTAGATTTCCTGGTGTTGCAAGCTCTGCTCTCAGTTATTTAGAGATTTTCTTATCAACCTTGTTAATGTTAGACCAATGCAGTATGCATCTCAGGAATGTAAATATCTTTATTATATATTCGTAAGAGCAAGCTAAACTGTAGTTATACTAATATCAGGGCTTAAGTTTTAAAAGGGGTAAGTGCACAGTGTCGCAGAACCCGGTTATTGATTTCAGAATACTATAACCAGTGTTTGAAAGCAGAACAGCAGTTACTAATTTTGCTTTGAAGCAGCCTAGCTCAAATTCTGATCAACTAATTATAAATGAAAAATGCTTTCTTTTAAGAGTTAAGCAGTGTTTGAGTGATATTATCACTTAAAAACAATAAATTATTTTTTTTTTATTCTAAGTGCCTTATATTTATGAATGCAGCTGTTTATTTAATATTTAACTTTTCCTTTTTAAGCTTCGACTTCATAGTGATAGGAGGGGCTATTGTTGGAACTATTATTGAGACATTCATGGATTCAGATGGTATGTTTTTTCCAGGCACATGCTGCAAACATCAGATATTTTTACCTGTGCTTTGACTTAAGTATACAAATAATTTTACGCAATATATTATGACTGAAATTTATTTTTCATTCGTTTCTTGTATCTATATCCACTTAAAATTTTATTAATTATGGCTGTATCATATGTCTGTTGAACTAAATTTTTCTTTACCCAGTGTTATAAGTATTTACCTATAATTTTTATTATTTCAGTAGTTGCCAAGTAATTAAAACTGTGAAACATTTTATGTTATCCTGGATTCATTTCTCAATAGCAGAAATTCATCAATATATAATTTCAGTAGTTTTAATTAACTAACTTCTACCTTTTTTTAAATCATTCTATTTGAAATTATGGATTGTTTTAATTTTAACAATAAGCATTTTATGCATGCCAAAATCTTACAAGGCAAAAAAATTTTAATTCCTTTCTGAATGACTCCTGATAATTGCAGTATATTAGAAGCAAATTTTGTTGTGATTATAATCTGTTCTTTCAAAACAAATTATTTATGAAGAGTAATAAGCTAAATGGGAAAAACATAAGCATCCTTGTGAAGAGAACCAAAACATTAAGTGGTAAATATTTCTCTCACTTCCAGAAAAGAGAAATCTGAATAAAGGCAGTCTTCAAATGCAATAGAGAAAAATATAGGAATCTATAACTTAGTCTAATACTAGCTGTATTAGCTTAAATGGTATCTAACAAAATTTACATTGGGGATAACTTTTATATATGTAGCTACGTCAGTTGAAATTAAAATTTACAAAACAGAAATACATTTTCAGTGTTCTATTTTATTTTAAGTGTTGCTAGTGTTAAGTATTGATAGAAACAAGGCGGATTTCTCTTTTCATGAAATTACATTGGTAAAAGCTGTTTCTGTTTTCTTCAACTGTTTTAGTGATTTAAGTTATTTCATAGTAGCAATTTTTTTAAAACCTGAATGCAAATCATATGTTTTTAACCTTTTAACTGTCATGCCCGAGATTATCTCGGGCACAGCATTGGTGTTCGAAAATGTCACGCCCGAGTATTTCTCGGGGTAATGTTTTTTTTTGAGTGCATCGTATTGTCATACCCGAATATATATCGGGAGATATTTATTTCGTCTACATTTGGTTTTTCCAATAAAAAAATTTGACAATTTGTGTACCCAAATCATCAAAATAACTTGACAGTTAAAGGGTTAACCAAACTAGCTGCAGGCTAATATTCAGTTATTTATTTATTTAGGCTCCATCTGAAACCTATTGACTTTAGCTTATATTTTTGAATTTCTATTACTGATCATGAACTATGAGAGCCATAAATTTATTAAAATACATTAACTGAAGTTTTAATTTCTTGTTATAAATCTTATAATTTCTTTTATGGTGTATGTAAGATAATATGTCTATGTTATTTAAGATGGTGCTCTTGAAGTTGTTCTTTAAGTTCAAAAGTTATAAAGTCAAACTCTTTTTTAATTGTAACCAATTTAGTTTTTTCTCTGTTTGACTCTCAAACACTGATATTGCTAACTTTTAAATTAATTGTATTAATTTTTGTTTGAATAATATAAATACATTGATTTCAAATAATTTAATTGAATGTGAATAATTTAATTGAAATAATTTAATTGGGGCAGATACCCCAATGTTTTTTAAAAAGCACTTTTTTATTTAATGTAGACTCTTTTTAAAATTTAAGGTTTTTTTTAAATTTAAATATTTAAAGCTGGTCTTTAGGTGGCCAGCAATCTTTCAAGTAGAATTTTCAAAATCTGAATAATATGTTTAATATGTGTTGTGTAATGTATTATCGTAATCTGCTAAAATTAATCAAAAGTGTATTTTACTTGAAAACACAAAGGTTTTCTTATAGGGGTAACTTTTAATATTATCCTTTTAAAAATAATCTTTGCTAGTTAGGAGAGAAAGAAACAATTTGAACTGTTAATGAGGACATAATTGAAAAAAGGCTGTGATAATATGAAGCATCTCATTTCAAAGTATCCAGTTGTCGGTGGGGACATTTCTGGGATTTTTTTGGGGGGAAAGGGTGAGACATTGTAAACTATCTATTTCACACTGGTCATTGATACTTAGCTGACAGAAACTTTGCGAACAGAGCATTAGCTAGCATGAACATTTAACTGACACATACATTTAGGTAACATATACATTTAGCCAACAGAACATGTAGCCAATATGGTAGTTTAGACAACAGGATACATAGCCAACAATACAAACTCCAACAGCATGTTAACCTAACTGCATGTATATTTAGAAAAACATGCCACAATGTTTTAATAAAATTTGTCCATATTTTTCCTATAAAAGGCCATTAATCTGGTATACTACGGGGTTTACAAGTGCCACATTTTTGTCTTTTTAAAGTTATGCTGAGCGTACTTTTTAAAATTGGACAGAAAAGCAACCTTAGGTTGGCACAGATTTTAAAATAAATTTTGTGAGTGATCAGTCATAGGTCTGTCTATTTCAAGAAAGGGATGAAAAATTAATCTAGTGTCATTTGTCAAGGCAGAGAGTACTGAAATGTAAAACAGCTAAACTGTTAGAATTTTGAAAATGTTGAAAAGAGCTAGATTGGAAAATTAGTCTCATTAACTAAAGAAAAATATTTTTAATGTAAAAAGGTTCAAAGAAATCCGGTTTTCAAAATGAGGAAGCTTTATGAATAATTTTTATAAATTCACTGTTAAAATTATGATTGTCTAATTGAGATTAGCAAAAAATTTGATTATTTCTCTTTTTTGAACATGCAGTTCATGTTTCATGACAAATTCAATTCTCTTTCAGTTTGCCCTTTATATGCCAAACCACTTTGACGTGATATGCTGAAATTCTACAAGAATTAAAATCAAAGATGAAGCTTTAAGAATCAAACAGTGAATTTTTCTAGTAGATGAGAAACTTGAGTTAATAAAGGTTGAATTTATGGAGACTATGAGAATATTTGTAATTAATAAAGATTAAATAGTTGTCGGATAAATATGGACAAATTTTACTAAAGCATTGTCACATTTTTGCCTAAATGTACTCATTTTCAGTTAAATGTGCTGTCAGCTAAACATGCTATTGGCTAAAAGTCTAGTCAGCTAAATGTCCTCTTGGTTAAATGTCCATGTTGGCTAAATGTCATGTTGACTAAATGTCGGTATCAGCTGAATGCGTGTGTCAGCTAAATGAACATATTGGCTAAAAGTCTGAATCAGCTAGATGTCTTGTCATCCAAGTGTCATGAGCCATTTCCATAACATGTCATGTTTCTGTATTAAGTGTGTTACATTTAGTGATGGATGAGACTACCGGAGAAACCATTGTATCCCCCCCAAAGTAATACAATATTTAGAATATGCTATTACCTGTATATTTTTAAAAATTTCCGAGTCAAATATTTTATGATCTTACGTCTATACAAGTGAAACTTTTGATGGAGACAAATTTTGTAAAAGACTTGAATTTGGAATAGATGTGAATAAAAAGCTTCATATAAATTTGAGAGTAATTTTCAACATTCTGAACACTTAACATTGTCTTTTAGCAGATTTTCAAAGTTGAAGATAGGTGCGAATTAGAGTTTCATACTGGTAGTTGTGTGTTATAACTCCCCAAGAGAAGGAACAAAGAACATTCTTATAGTTGTAAACTAAATATTTCATTTCCTACTAAGACACTTTTACTAACTTAGAAACCTTATGCAAGTTTCTCACAAAACATTTTCTGTATATTATAACCCATTGTTATGGATTCAATCAAAATAAAAACCCAATTTTAAAACCGATAACAATGAATATCAGTATGCAACATCCTCGCACCTTTTGTTTTGTGCATCTAAATATTACAAGATAAAACTAATGTATTCCTTAAAAACTGCAATTTAACATAGACATTTTAGTCAATGTTCATAAATGTAACTAATAAATTCAATTTTTTAGGTAGCTTTACCTATCATCCCCTTCGAGTATGTATTATTTCATGACCTTGAAACAATTCTGTCACAGCAAATAATAAAGCCTGAAAGATGCGGTTTTGAATCATCATAACTGGGTAACAAATCTCCTCCATTTCTTTGAGGGTGTAATCTGGGGCTTGAGCTTCCAGCTTTCTCCTGAAGGGTTAAATCTGATGATGCAATCTCTAAGAGATATAATCACTGAAGGGGACGAATAGTTTCTACATTTGCCAATTTCAGTCGCTGTTTACCATTTCATCCTGTAAATAATTTCATCATTCTAGGAAAAGGCCAGTTAATTGTTTTGGAGCTATCAGATTCCAGAAGTAATTCTGTCTTTGCATATAGTAAAGCCTGAAGAATGCAGTTTTGAATCATCACAACTGGGTGACAAATCTCCTCCATTTCTTTGAGGGTGTAATTGAGCTTCCAGCTTTATCCTGAAGGATTAAGTCTGATAATGCAATCTCTAAAGGATATAATTACTGAAGGGGACTAATAATTTTTACATTTGTTAATGTCAGTCGCAGTTTACCATTTTATCCTGTAAGTAGTCCCATCATTCTAAAGAAAGGCCAGTTAATTCTTTTGGAGCTATCAGATCCCACAAGCACATTTCCTACTTGAATATTATTTCCTGCCATAATGGTCAAATTCCTTACAAGCTCAGACAAATATTCTTTTCAGAATCTCTGTCAAAAACAATCTGGAACACTTTGTAAGTATCATAACCTTTTCTTCAAATGACTTCCATCATTTGTGTCAAATTCAAAGTATCACAATTAGTAGAATTTGGAGTTTCACATAGGAAATGTTCCGGTGTTAATGGTAATGGTTCTTCTGGATTCTCTGACAAATAAGTTAATAGTCTCTTATTGATTGTATTCTTGCAATCACATAAAACTGTTGACATATCTTGTAATTTAGACTAGATGTGCCAAGAATTTTTTTCAGTTAGATCTTTCATACTGTGTATCTTATGCTCCCATCATCCACTGAACCACAGTGCAGTTGGTGAA